GTTCTCGAATTCACGTAGTGAAGTTCGAATTATATACGAAGGGTGCGTCGCGCCCGCACTTTACGCCGAAAGTCGCAGCGACACGGGAACACGATTTACCTGAGGCGCTCCCTCCGACAATATTAAAAGGAGCAGTCCCTCGTGAAAAAGACGACGATGACGACGGCGCGCGTACCTACCTGGGGCAGACCCGGGGGAGAGGAGGCAAAGGAAGTGTAGAAAGGGATGGGCGATCCGGATTGTCCCGAGTAGGAAAACGGCCGAAAGTTCTGCATGTTCGGCTCGCAGCAGTTTAAGTTTCCGCGGGGCGCCGAAGTTATAACGAGAATTGCTCTGCCCCTCCCTCTCTCTCTCTCTCGCCGTAAAGTTTTCCACCTTCGAGTTCCACCGCGCGTACATACCTTTCCCCATTTTTCTCACTCTTCCTCTCTCTTACCCTCTTGCGCTTTTCCTTGTGTCGCTCGTCTTTCCTTCACTCTTTCTCCCTCTGTCACTCTTTCTCTCGTCTCTATTTATGTAGTACACGCTACCGCGGAATTGTTCGCGTGCATACGTCCGCTGGTGCCCGCGCCTCGCCCCCGCGCAAGTCATGTACATCGCAGGAATTTTTTTCCGAATGCGAAACTCACCGTCTCTTTCTCTCATCTCTTCTCCTCTCGAGTCCTCTCTGCCGCCGCGCTCGTTCCCCCCATTGCCTTTCTTCACGCCGGATATTCGTACGGCGAGAATAAAACGCTGGCATATTTCAGACTTATTGTCCCTTCCCCCCCCCCCCTCCTCACGCACCGTGCCGAGTATTCTCGGCTCCTTTATTGCGCCTAGTTTCATTCTTTTCCGGTTTACGGTATTACCGCAACGGTATTACACGCGTTCTTATCCACGTCCTTGTGCACGCAACGCCGCACGATCCCGCGGTTCTATCATTTTGTGAATCCTCGAGATATTCTATGAACTATGGCAGTTTTAGTTCGTTTACATTGCGAACAAATACTCGTCAAACCAAAAGAAATATTCTAGCAATAAAATTATATTCTACTAATATTTTCAATATCCTGACTTTTACCTAGCTTCTAGTTAAATTTCAATATCTCGAAAAATTGTGAAGAAAAATAAATTAAAATAGCTTTAGTAAAATGGACCAATATTGTTATCGTAGAAAAAATATAACTGTTCTTCATAAAAAAAAAGTTTTATATCATACGTTTGAAACATAACTGAGAAATCTTCTATAATTTCTTAAAGACTGCTATCAGAAGTGGAAAAAAGTTTCATCAAACTGTATACTATATAATAATATTTCTAAAGGAAAAAAATTATAGTTACCTTTAATAAAATTTTTCGTGCAGTCTCATCTATAGTAAATAATTTTAATAATAGAATTATTTTTATGCGAACATTACAATAAAACATTATAATAAAAGATCTGGATTATTATAATGTTACCGCGATTTCTTCTGACTTTCAGATACGCGTTCTGTCAGTATTCTCCAGAATAGTTAATACAGTTTGTTTCCGTATTATCGTTATCGTTATCCAGCAAACAGCTCGGATTAATTTCAATGTGTCTGATTATTGATACTGTCGCATTACTGCGGAAACCCTATTACACTGTCAGACTGTCGCTTAAGTACCGAATGGTACTTTGGGTAAGGTTCCCAATAATCGATACTGTGAATGGTTGGAATGGTTTCGACCCTTTGACCCGCATTGATCCACAAGGATATTGTCGCTATTTGTCAAATCTTGCGTTATTCAATAATCAAGAGAACGGGATATGTAATACGTTTAAAAGATAATTAGCGCAACCCGAGATGCGAGATTACATAATATCGTGGGCATAAAATTCTAGAATTTTATTTTTTACATTTTAATTTTAAGTAGCAAATTTTAAGTTCTTAATAAAGTTAATACTACAATTAATATAGCAGTTAAAGTACCAACTGTTAGACAATTTAAATAGCAATAATCTAATTTTCCAGTTTCTTTCTCCTTCTTTCTCTTTTCTCCCTCGCGGATCTTTTATTACCAATTAAGTTTCACCCGCAGTTTTCTGATTTCTGTAATAATCAGCGAGTTTAAGCTGCTTCAACTTTGAAACTCTGCCATTGTCTTTAATGTCTAGGAGCGATTCGCCGTAACGTCCCGCAGCGAGGATAGGTGCAGCAAGAAGAAGGGAGTTAGGGCGCGGAACGGGCGTGCCCGAGAATGGGCTCGGATAGCGGTGGCGTTTCAAGTAGCATTTCCTTGGCACAAACGACCCTCTTAATCAATCGCTAGCACCTCTCTTCTTCTTTTCCCGGCTTGCCACGGCTCCTACAGCTCGAGCTGTGCGTGGAGCACCGTCCTCCACCTCTTACTGCCGGAAGTCTAAAGCCCCCGTAACAAGCCGCAACTTCGATAAATCTCCCCGCACCGTCTTTCTTTCCCCGAGAGCCGCGATTCCGCGGCATTAGCAAGAACGAAAGGAGAAAGGCGAGTAAAAGATATATCTCAGATCGATTTTGGCGAATGCGCTCGAGGGATACGATACCAAAAGAGGGAGAAGAAAGGAGGGGGGAGGGGGGCGACGGCGTGATGGGAAGCAAGGGGACTGCAAAAATCGGGGGGACGGGAGAGAAAAACTTATGAAAATCCGAGATTTATGGGAACGTGTGAGCGAGAATCGGGCCGGGCCGCGCGCCCGCTGTGGTTCGGCTCTGACAAATCGTCCGGAAGTTAACGTTCTCGATCGTCTCTGGATCGCCTTCCAGCAAAGGCGAATCCCTCCCTCGGTGCCCCGTTCTGGGAAGAAAAAAAAACTTTCCGACCCTTTCGATACTCGTATTTCGTATCGAAAGTTTGCATGCGTCTCGCTTCGACGGCAAACGCTTTCGACGAAGTTAAAGTTGTTTCTTTTTTAAAAGTCGCGGGAGAAATCGATAAACGCCACCGATATTGGTTTCAAATTCTTATATTTTGTTTTGCCGCTTGGCTACTTTATAGTTTGCGAGAGAAGCATGTTTTCGCAAAACTCACGTTGAAACGGATGAAAATTGGTAAAGTAAAATTGCAACTGAATTATAAACGTGATCTAAACAGACGTATTGATAGTATATAATAGATTTTATCGCGTTAATTCTACGTGCTGCGCATATTCATTTCACAAATTAATACCAAATTTCTTTCATAAGTATAAAATTGCTGTTCTACTGCATCTAAAACTTTATGTTCGGATGACTGATCGGAAATCCTTAAATTACGAAAGATTTTAAATAAAATCATAGTATTAGGAAAATGTCTTTTTTTATGGCGCTCCATCATATTTTCCTGCCGTAAACAATATCTCAAGATAAACTTTCCAGATTGATTTCAAGATTCATCAATAGATCCGAGACGCTCTATGGAAAGACAGATAGGAATTTTGTACAAAGTATTTGCCGCTCCATATCACCAAATTCGAAATATAATCCCTGATTGCTGAAAGAGAGAGATCTACGTCTCTCTCCCTCTCACTCTCTTTCTCTGGATCTTCGAAGCAGGAGAACTCGCGTATTTCTCACAGAATTTTCGTGCTGAAGTTCCCCGTATCGGCGTCCGTTCGTAAAAAGACCCGACGGAGTAGAAATTACCGAAGGAAGGAAGGAACATGAATGCTCCGGCTGAATGGAAAATGGCAACTATAAGGAAAGTCTAAAAGTTTCGAGCTTCTCGGAAAACTGAAAATGGGGAAAGGCTGAGAGTTTAAGCGCCGATATAAACGATTCGGCTTCTTGCTTTCGGCGCTCGAGAAACGATCCAACCCGAATAGTCACCTGCGCCGTTTAGAAGGAAGCAATAATCGTTTGATTCCGTGCGTTTCTATAGTGGAATCCTCGATTGCTAGATCCTTTGTTCGCAAGAAGGAATAAAATCGAAAAACTCGCTGTACGCAGAGATAAACGCGATCTCTAAGATTCAATGGGCTTCTTTCTCTCAGCTATACATTGTAATTTAGCATTTCTTCATTTTTTTTTAATATGCTCATATCTTAAACTTAACTCTAACATCACATATTTTGCTATAATAACTACTGACAATTACTGACTTAAAATTATGAAAACTAAAAAGACAAATTAATCCCATCTCTTTCTTGGTAAAACGTCTTAATTTTAAAATATTAAAAATCCGTACTGTTAATAATGTTATTATCGATTATGTTTGAATGGTCAAATGTTTCAATTAAAACGTTTTAACTGGCTTTATGAATCCTGCCAAGAATAGTTATCGGTTACGCAGAGTGGATCGCTTTGTCGGGGAAAGTCTCGGATTTGATCACATAAAGCAAGGATTACTCTAATCCATCGAAATAATTCTGCATTAGAGCACACACGGGGTTGGAAACGGGAGCTAATCTACTCGGGCCAGGAGCGAGTGTTCTTCGAAAACGCGGGAATTAAACGCGATCCCAAAAATATGAGGGAAGCGACCTCCGTTATAATAAATCCCAGAGTAACCAGTAGAAATTTATGCGTCGTATAAGCCAATTATTTATTATACGCCGCCGCGATTCAGAAATAATCGGGCTAGAAACCTTTCTAGCTCTCTCGCAATGAAAAGAAACAAACGAGATATAGCGGTCGATCTTGATGCGAAAAAGCTTAGAAATAAATTTAAAAAAAATAAGTGACTATTATCATACTTTAAAAATTGATTTATATGCAGAGTATCTAATATAGTTACGTATTTCAATCTCAATGTTGTACTGTAATATAAGGTGTGAATTAATTTTCGTTTTGTGTTTATAAAACGCCTTTTTCAGTTAGCACTGGCCGATTCTATAGCTATTACGACAAACATTAATGTATCAATATAATTTAGTCAACTCCCTGCTCATAGAAAGCTATTTTCTTAGAGTTACTTGATCGATCGTAGCAACATTCATGTCTAACCATCTCCTACGGTATCATAACAAGCGCACTTCTGCGCGCGTTTTATGTTTGATCAGTAAGCAAACGTGAAGAAGAGGGTAAGAGGCACGTTACCTGCGCCAGCCGCCCCTAGCCTCAGGACTGCATCGCTTTGAAGAGAAATGGAGAGGGTGGCGGTGTCCTCGAGGCGGGCTAGGACCTCTTCGGGAATGTCCTCGGGTTCGCGGAGGCGGAGGGTGACTTCACCCCCGCCTCCGCCACCCTGGCCACCTCCACCCCCGGGACTCGTCGACGCCGAGTACATGAACACAGATCCGTATCCATGTAATGACTGCAGTGGCAGCCTCACGCCGCCCACCTCTCCGACCGGACCCTGAAAATCGAAAGATGAATCATCGTTAGCGAGCCTATACAAATAATAATTTTAATTGTGTATACGCAATTATTAAATTCTTTGTATTAAATTACAATTTCATAAATAATAATTTTAAAGAATCTTGAAACACGATAAATTAAAAACCATTAATATTTCATCAATAATATATATTTTTTATTATATTTGTCATTTCTCTGATAATCTTTTTAATCTATCAAAAATTGATAAATACGCTAACTATTATATTAATAAAACAGCAAATATAGTTAATGATGCAACAATCCTAATGTATATATTTAGAAAAAATAGCTTCGCTTGCTAAGTTCTTTGTATATCTACACTTTTATCTTGATACTTTGAGTTTTATAAAACCCTAACGATGCGTTTCGCGTGCACTATATGCACAAAGAAACAATAAAAAAGAACGGCGGTTCTGTTTCGCCAAATAAAACGACCGTGCAAATACTCGATGCGTATGTTGCATCCTGCGGAACAGTATCGAGAAGCCGCATAATATTTGCCGTGGAATTCGATTGGCGCAACGAGTGGCCGGGAGGCGCGTCTGAATCGATTGATGCATCATATTAAATTTAAGGCTACAATTTTCCCTTCGTCCGGTCGTATCCCGCGGGAAGGCCTTCATTCCCTTTTACCGTTCCTCTCGACTCTCGTCTCGTTTTTGCCGCCGCAGCCTAACGTTCTCTTTTACGTATAGAAATATTTTGCCAATTTCGCTGTCGATGCAAATTTCAATTCGCGAGCGTCAATATTTGCTGAATCGCGCCGAAAAAGGATTTTGATGTACTGGCATTTTATCCGCCATCGAACGCGCGTTTGACTTCCGCGCGAAAAAGACTCTACGCCGCGGTGAAAAATAAAGACAGAAAAATTTCTGACAAATGCGAATGAAATAGATCTTCCCTCTCATTTGGGATTACGATAAAAAAAAAGACGGAGAGAGAGAGAGAGAGAGAGAGAGAGAGAGACAGACCTCTCTTCTAGTAACAGCTCGACACTGCTCGAGATATTTTAATGGAACGAAGAGATTCAATTACCGCCGCGCGTGTTTCTTTGCGCGCACAGTTTCTGATATGCTGTCGGATGTAATAAGGAATATCGAAGAAACGTAGTGATAATGATAGTCGATATTACTCGGAAAAAGTCGCAAAGGCGCAATATCGAGATACAATGGAAATTGTCCAATGTTTTGTATCGTGCGATCGATCGGGAAGTTAATGTCACTATCGAGTGAAATGGAATTATAGTGTTCACTATAAATGAATTATTCTGCTATTTCCCAAACCCGCTAGAGAAAAAGTGTGAGAGAGAAAGGGGGAGAGGAGGAGAGAGAGGGAGGAAGGGAGATAGAGAGTTGCCTTCGGCAAAGTTTATCGATTACGGCCATCACGTGAAAGTTAACAAAAAGATATACTTTATTAAAAACAGGTTCTAACGAAGAGTTATTCATAGTGTGTATACTTTTTGAAACAGGAAACAATCCCGTTTTGCAAATTAAAAAAAAATACTATTGGCGAGAATCTGATGTAAGCAAACTGATAGAAATAATTTGTACGTTGCGCCGTTATCAATAATAAAAAAATGTTTTTCGGAAATGCACATGTCAAAGCTAAATATAGATATGTTTGTGCCAAGCATAAATTTGAAATAACAAATGTTGTTAGTTTCCGTAAACAGGAAAGTCGACCGATTCGCGTACAAGCCGGCGAGAATTAAAAATATCAGTGTAATACTGGTACAAACAAGGTTTACTGGAAATGTTTGTAGAACTCGGGCACGTATAAATGCCATCTGTATAAAGGCAATGTGCCCGGCTAATACAAACACCGGTTTTAATTCCGACGCGAATCTATACAGATGCGAACCGCACAAACAGAAAGTACTCCGTTTACCGATTAAAATATTATGCGCTATGATAATTGAAAAAAAATTTGTCTGTAAAACAGTAAAAAAAATACGCTGGTAATATAATATTATGAAAGGGAAATCTGCGAATATTGTTATAAATCAAAATTTATAAAAAAATAAAATTATTATTTTCATCCACGCAAATTTCTGTTAATTATATTTTTAATTAACCTTACATATTTCCGAGATGTATCTCATCCGATAGATCCTATTAGAAAGATTATCATTCTATTGATTAATTGTAATTTTAAGATTTTTAAGTTTAGTTCTAGTAAAAGGAAGGCGAAGCAATAATTCTGCGATATAGTTTATTACTTTAAATTATTATAACCACATTATTTATCAAGTCTATATTTAAAAAGCCTACATTAATTTGCAAAGATTAACTCAATAACTATTAAATTTTTCAATTAACCAAAAATAATGCAAAGTTTTAGTGAGAAAAAAGAAATTACATTAATGATTAGTGTCATCTTTTTACTTATTTTCGTTATAAAATTTACAAAAAGTGTGCAAAAATTAAAACAATTAGATTACTTAGAATCAATATTCTTTTATACGTATATGTCTTTGGAATATACAAAATCAGTGGTTATTACGGGCAAAAAAGAGAATATTATTTTAAATAAAATATCAAATGTTATTTTTACATAAAGTTGTTAAATATCACAAATCGTAGCGGAGGAATCAGTGTTTAAAATTTGGTTGTGATCGTTTTTTACTTTCAAATGCGATTTACATTTTTTCAATACCGTAAACTCTCTCGAAATATTTCCAAAACAGTACGCTTAAGCTGGAAAATTTCAAGTTCGCACGTATTCCCGTAATGCGTTCGATTTAATGGCCAGTGCCGTGTATCCGGTGGCGCGAATTTTCCCATTGTTAGTGGTCCAGGCGCGAGCCGCGTACTCCCTCTATTATTTACGTAAATTGATTCGTACCGCCGACTATTTCCGCGTCACGTATTCGCTCGCCATCGAGCTAGCCGGCTCGGCGTTATAGGCGGCGAGCAAGCCATCGCTATACAGCTGCGTGATGAGAGTAATTTATTTTAATGGTCATTTTCGTAATGGGTCTTTGAACAGGGACGCATGAACATCTCTGAATAGGACACGTATAGCGTAACACGGTGATGCCCCTTCCTGCTGCCCCCGCCGCTGCTGCTGCTGCTGCTCCTCTGCATGCACGTGGTCGACGTGCCCCACGCGCAGGAGAGCGCGGTGAGAATGCACGGTAACTGTGCCATTCGCGAAAATGGCACCTGTTACCGGAAACAATGCCCGCCGTCTCCACGCTTTTCCATTTTAGCAACCGCGAAAACTTTTCCGCTCCACCCTCCCTCACTCCCTCGACCCCGCTTTTTCTCGTTTTTACGGCCGGCATTGTAGTACGACGGTGTAACGGGGGAATCCGGTACAATTGGCAAAGCGACGGCCCATTTATGACACCCGAGGATCATTTCCATGAAGCTGCAATTAATTGAATCCGTCCCCGAGAACCCGTGATTTATATGACGCGCCCAGGAAACGCGCTTTTTGTAATGGAAGAACGCTTGCCCGCGACACGATACAATTAGTCATTTCGTTCATTATACACGAATATATTACGCGGATGGTTTTTCTCTCTCCGTTGCCGGTGCGACAGGGAATATTTTTTGAAATCACTTATGCCGCGAGTACATCGAAGTAAACGAGATGGGCACCGGAGAGATGCCGGAAAGTTAAATCGATTCCAAGTTCACCGGAAGAACGAGAGGACTTTCCGATTCGACTTTCGCCGTGGCAGCAAAAGCGAAGCTTCAAAGTCGGAATCCGGCGCTCTCGCTCGGCAAGGCGGAAGATTACGGTAATAGATACGACGGGGGATATCTCTGTGAACCGGGCGAAGCACACATCGCCCTGGATCGACGTCATCCTCGATACAGGCTATTACACGTGCTCGGTCAAGGGCGAAAGCCTCCCGTGGGTGCTCGGATAAATATCCACGGCACTCGCGGGACACTTTGGAAAAAGGACTAATAAATATGAGATGCTTCGAGTTAGCTTATACGAGTCTTTATAAGGGCTTTAAAAATATCCTTTTACTATTCCCTCTTGATTCGTCGATCGTAATACGCCCCCAATGTGTCTTACTATCTGCATGTTCGTCCTATATTTCTCCCTAAAAATCTCTAAGCTAATATTCTGTAGCTTCAGGTTAATGATATCTTGAAATAAGATCCACGTCAAAATATATTCATTGCATGTAAAAGCTATCGATAAAATCAATAAGTCAAATTATTTAAAACGATTACTTTGAAATTGAAGAAGATACACAGAAACAATATTTCGTATAAAACTAATGTACAATAAACCTTGTAAAATATACCTCTATTAAAAAAGAATTCGATTCTTGCTTCGAGATGAAAACGTAAAAGAATAAAAGGAGAAATGAAAATACCGCATAGCAATATATTATTTTATAGTTTAAAAATGATTTTACCATCTAGAGATTTTAACGGATATAATTTTTTACGAAATGTCGACGCTCCGGATTGCTTCTGGGTGATGAAGAGCCGACTCTTCGGGATTTAGGAAGAAGTAATAACAAACGGAAACTACAAACTCTCGGAAGCCTGATAGATTTTATTCCGGCACGTATGCAAATTGACAAATTGAATTTCACTTCGCGCGCCGTTCCCAAATAAAAGAGAACGATACAAGCCGATATATGGCCCGCAAAAAACCGAATGAAAAGCGGATACGGCCGCGATTTCACGCTGGAGCGCCGATTCCGATTTCGGAACATTAATCAGCATCCTTCGTTCCGGAATTCGTCCAATAAACAGCGCCCAAGTACCAAGGTGATTATTCACAGGATACCGTAAATGTGCGACAATTATTTCGATTTCGTCTTTTCAATTTTGAGAGAGCGAAAAAGCTTCTTCCCACGAAAAATGTGGAATTTTCTCCAAAAAAAGAAACAAAATAGATGGCTTTGGCAAACGTTGCAGGCACGTTTATGATTGTGTGTGTATCGCAAATTTCAGCCAATAATAAAACAAGATATATATAACCGCAATATATTTTTAT